CCCTGACCTATTTCCTAAAGTCTCTCTCCACAGACAGCTCTGTCGACCTGTTTCTCTTCATGAGTTAGGCATCTGGCTTTGACCTGGCATTTCAGTGTCAGGAACTGATTGTGACACCAAGATGAAAACTTAAATTTTCATCAGTGACTCTGAATGATCAGGACAGTGCAAGCCTGGGGGAAAAGTGGTTGAGGGATAAGCAATGCTGCCACCTTGTGGAACGCAATAGTCACATTCTTTGAGGCAGAAATGGCTAACAAAGATAACAAAAAAAGAACTTCAGAGTGCCCAGAAATTTACTTATTTTGTAACTTGTATGGTTTAACTTTCTGTCACTTTTATGAGTGAATCTCACTTTAAAATTAAATTTATTACATTAATAAATAAATGAAATTTCAAAGAGAACCCCTCACACACACACTCAGGGTTTTAAAGATATCTAAGTTAAGTCCTGGCTCTGCCTGGAATTAGCTATATAGTTTTCATAATTCAAATTTGTTTCCTTGTTAGTAAAATGTGGGCTGTGGTGACATTTAAATGATAATTATTTCTCTATTGTCCTTCCATTAAATTTTACCCTACCTTCTTTATCAGACATAGGAACTCTTATCTCTCCTACAGGTAACTACACAACAGAAAACAAATGGAAGATTTTAGCAGTGAGGTTTAAACTGAGATGGGGCTCCTGAGGGAAGCACTATCTTTGATCATGACAAAACCGCTGCATTTACAAACTCATGGCACACATGTTGTTGCCTGTACACAGGTTGGAAAAATGGCTCAGCCATTAAGAGCACTAGTTCTCAGGTCTATTTCCATCACAAACCAATATAAGTCCAGTTCCAAGGATTGCAAAGGCTTCTCTGACTGCTATGGAGGCACCAGCCACACACATGGTGCACAGACATATATGTAGGTGAAACATACATAAAATTAAAAAAATAAATCTAGTTTTTAAAAAATTAAAGACCTGCCCAAGAGCAAGCCAGTCAACCCTGTAGTATGGAGAGGAAAAGGGTTCATGCATCCCACCCCTAACTATGGAGCTATTGATAATTAGGGACCTCCCGGAGAAGAGAGAACAAATTTCCTTAATGGTGTAGTCCCCAGGAGGTTAATTATGTCCCAGTGGTTGACTCCACACACAAGAGTATAAGATCAGCCCAAACTGGACTCAATGGGTTATTTAAAAGAAGAGGAGGAGAAGGAGAAATGGGGTGGGGTGGGAGGCAGAGCTGGGAAGAGTTGTAGGGAGGAGTCAAGGGTGAATATGATCAAAATAAATTGTATAAAATTCTATAAAAATCATAGCAATATTTCTAAAAGGTAAGGTAGGATCATTCTCACCCCATCGTTACATTTTATCAATAGATTTTTAAAAATTATATGTGTGATGGGTGGTTTGCCTGAACATATGTCTGTGTATCTCTTGCATGCCTGGTACCCATGGAGACCAGAAGAGGACATCAGAACCCTTGGAGCATAATTTAAAGTTACAAGGTCAAACAGTTGTCTTCACTTTCTACTGTGTACTTAGCTCACATACTGAATGGTATGCAAAGGATTGCAACTCATACACTAGAGAAATACACTAATAAACTCATGTAAGATAATTAGACATCATGACTGAAGTTAATACACACTGTCCCAGTTAATTTTTGTCAGCTTGACACCGCTAGAGTCAAAGAAGAAGCTCAGTTGAGGAAATGCCTCCATCAGATGGCTGTAGGCAAACCTGTAGAGACATTTTCATGATTGCTAACTGGTAGATGGGTACCCAACCCACTGGGGTCAGTGCCATCCCTGGAGATGGCTGTGGGCACCGTAAAAAAGTAGGGAGAGCAACCAGGCAGTGGTGGAGCACGCCTTTAATCCCAGCACTCGGGAGGCAGAGGCAGGTGAGTTCCAGACCAGCCTGGTCTACAAGAGCTAGTTCCAGGACAGCCTCCAAAGCCACAGAGAAACCCAGTCTCGAAACTGCCACCCCCCCCCCCCGAAAGGTAGAGCAAGCAATGAGGAGCAAGTCAGTAAGCAGCACTCCTCCATGGCTGATCTCTGCTTCAGGTACACACTGCCCCCTCCGTGATAGATGGCAACTAACTGGGAATTGAAGTAAACCCACATCGCTTTCGGTTAGTGTTATTTCATCACAGCAATAGAAACCTAGCTAAGACACATACTCACTGAAATGCTAAGGTTTTATACGTGTAAAAATCTGTGTAAAGCTATAAAAGAAGACAACTAAAAGCATACATCAGAGATGGTTTATGCTGGGAGCACTCTGAGATGATTGAGAATATGATTAAAACAGGACTTACAATCATAGCAGAAGTATATGTGAGAGAAGATATGTAAGAAATTTGAGTGGAATATAGAGTTTCTGTGAAGTATTACTTTGAAGAAATATTGGATAAGTAGAGACCAAACTGTGGATGATCTTGGAAAGGCGCTCTGGATGCTCTAAGTGGTAGAGCGATCATTCTCGTAGGATTTTTAAGAGGAACAAATTCTTAGACCTCACATATGCTAACACATGCTCTACCACTGGACTATCCCCAAACCCATAACTCTTATTTTGTTTCATGCATTATTTCACATTTGTTAAGTGGCTGCCATATACTATGCTCCAATCCCAGGAAAACTCAGAATTGATAGAACTCAGTGAGCATTTGTAGATAAGAAATTCATGAATGAGGAGCTGGAGAGATGGCTTAGCCATTCACCGCACTGACTGCTCCTCCAAGGACCTGCGTTCCTTCACTGGGCCCAAGAGACAGTTTTTTCTTTAATATTATATGTTTCACTTAAACTTTAGATTTCAGCCTCCAAAGCCACAGAGATACAAAACAACAACAACAACAACAACAACAACAAAACCTTTAGATTTCAGGTGGACTTGAAGTCATTTTAAAACTTATTCCCTTCTTTAGGAAGAAATAGTTTTCTGAAATGATGAGACAAATTACCTGACGCAGGGCAGATGAGTCTCTTAATCCCATTGATGAAAAAGTTTACTAATCCCATTGACAAAAAGGCAAATATCCCCTCGAACTAACCAGCAGACTCTGCAACTTAAATTGTTGCTGCACGATAGTTTATGGCAGTTTAGGAAACATTGCATGGTTTTCAAGAAAAATAATCTGACTCTGCCAAATTTTAGTTATAATAGAAATAGAGCTTTCATTTTGTGGCAGAAAAACAAAACAGAGAGGCATGCTTACTACCAATACAATCCTTGTGTTTCCTGAATGAATAGTTTTAGAAATGAGAACACATCCAAGGGAATTCATTAATCTGGCTGTAAGTTAATCTTTTTTGACTTGTACAATTCAATTATTCATTGCTCTTCTCTGCATAGGCCTTTCTATGTAGTCATAAAAACATTTCTTAAAAACCATTATAAATAAAAGGGAAGGATACAGGATACATGCTATGATGCAGAGATGGCTCTCTTCCATTTACACACAACTTCATTAATAACTGAAATCTTTTTCATTGTGTGACACTGTGGCCGTTTGAATGAGAAATGTTCACATGGTTAAACACTTGGTCCCCAGTGGGTGGTGGTGTTTTGCAAGACTATAGAACCTTTAGGAGCTATAGCCTTGCTGGGGGAAGTATGTCACTTGGGGTTTGAGGGTTGACTGCCTCACCTCACTTCCTTTCTGCTTCTTCTGCTTCCTGTGTGTAGTAAGACATGATTAGTAAGCCTTTTGTTCTTCCCATGATGCCTGCTTGTTGCCATGCCTTCCTCACCATTATGAACTCCCTCTTAGGCACTGTAAGCCCTCCTAGTTGGTCATAGTATTGTGTCACAGGAACTGAAAAGTAACTAATTCAGAAGTTGATACCAGAAGTGTGGGGTTGTTGTGAAGAAAGTAACCATGTTGGGTTTTAGAAGATGACTTAGGAACTTTTGAACTTAAAAAACCATAGGCAGGAGGGAATGGGAGAGGGACCTGGAACTGACTTGTGAAGCAACCTCGTTTCTTATCTAAATTTAAACTGGAAAAAAAAGAAAACCATAGGCAGGGGCTGGAGAGATGGCTCAGTGGTTAAGAGCACTGGTTGCTCTTCCAGAGGTTCTGAGTTCAATTCCCAGCAACTACATGGTGACTCATAACCATCTATAATGAGATCTGGTGCCTGTTTCTCACATAAAGTTGTATGTACAGATAGAGCACTCATACACATAAAACAAATAAATAAATCCTTAATAAAAACTGGCTGCTGTAAGCTCTTTTTTTTTTGAAGTTCTAAATACTGTTATACTCTTTATTTGATATTATACATAGACCACAGTAAGTGCCTTTCAGTGGTAAAAGGCAGCATCCTTTGACTTAGGGAATTCTATTTAAAATGACATCATCAAGTCAAGAATAGACAGTAAGTTCCTGATGATTGCCTGTAACAGACCAGTGAATATAAACTGAAACACAGGTGAGTCTTCTCATTTCCAAGACAGTGACAGTTTTTTTCCCCAGTGTTTAAACATACTCATATGCCCAGTCATATAAATTTAAGTATAAAGCCATCCAATAGGTTTGAGGTGACACCCCCACTTTTGTGGAAAGTAGAACTTTGATAATTAAGTTCAATCCTATATTGAGAAAAGGAGAGCAGAGATAGTATTTATGCAGCTGGAATTGTTATTTTAAAAAAGATCATACCCACTTTACTACAAGTCATTTTTACTTAAATCAGGACTGTCCAACGAAAACATTGTTAGCTATTCATGATCTGAATTTTGGTGTATGAATTAAATTATGGTACACATTAAAAGTCATGAGACATTTGTTTTGTAATAAATAAGGCAGCGGCCGGGCATTGGTGGCACACGCCTTTAATCCCAGCACTCGGGAGGCAGAAGCAGGTGGATCTCTGTGAGTTCGTGGCCAGCCTGGTCTACAAAGCGAGTTCCAGGACAGCCTCCGAGACAATACAGAGAAACCCTGTCTCGAAAAACCAAAATAAATAAATAAATAAATAAGGCTGCGGAATTACTCATGAGTAGCTTTTTTAAGATAAGCTATTAGGCCTGTCCTCTCTTCCTTCTTAATTCCAGCGAAGATCATTGTTGTTCCAGGGAAGTATTTTTTGGGATTCTCCAAATACTCCATCAGGGTATCCTCTCCCCAGGTGATGCCTGAACAGAAAGGGGTGCAGTGGTTAAGTGTTTTATATTCCTGGTAAGTCTGCCATTGGTTACACCCATGCAATCACAGATGCAATCTATGCTGTGTCCCCACTTACCTTTGTTCTTGTTGGCATCTGTGTACGAGAATCCAGCAGCCTGGCCTGCCTTCCTCCCAAACAGACCGTGGGGATTTGGTCCAGTCTTGTGCTCGCCTCCCTTTCCCACGGTGTGGCACTGGGCACACTTCTGAACAAAAATCTTCTTGCCTTTCTCAACATCGCCCATTTTTAATTCGATCGCAGGTGATCAGCACCACAGTCACTGCAACCGGAAGTCAGACATCCTGCTCTCTAGACCAAGGACACGCCCTAGACCTAGACCCTAGACACGCAGGCGGCACCTATGTACCGGTGTCGGTGCAACCACCCTTCTTGCTGTAAGCTCTTAACAGTCTGTGGATAGGCTGTTCTTGGAGGAGCTTTGAGAGCCCAAGTTGTGTTTTAAGTTCTAATGGTTGTGCCTAAGAGATCCATAAAACAAAAAATGGCTCTAACCTGTAAGCCCCTTGCCCAAGGATAGATACTTTCTGAAATGCTGGAGACTATTGTTTCTGTAAGATAACAAGCCACAAGACTTTGGTTCCCTAAACCAGCTTGTATGACTCAAATGCGTTGATTGTGTTGATTACATGTAGGTAGGAAATACAAAAGCAGGAAATACATCAGGATGTATACTTGACCCTGATTGGACCTGGTGGGAAATACACAGCCTTATGAATTTGCCTTTATAAGCCTTTGCAAAATGTGACTCATTGCCATTGGGAACCCCAGAATGGTTCTGGCCAGAGTCCTCACCAGTATTTAACGAAAGCTTGCTTCAAATTTGGCACAAATTATGGTAGTGGTCTTATTCTCACCTGGTATTAACAGGGTCTGAAGAATAGTAGTATAAGAGTAATACACACTGTGGGAACCTCATTCATGAGGTTTCAAAGGGAAGCAAGGATTCTATTAAAAAGGAAGCTATCATCCCAAAGATGCAAGGATGGCTCAACATACAAAAATTCATCAATGTAATCCATTATATAAACAAACGGAAAGAAAAAAAAACACATGATCATCTCATTGGGTGCTGAAAAAGTCTTTGACAAAATTCAACACCCCTTCATGATAAAGGTCTTGGAAAGAACAGGGATACAAGGAACATACTTAATCATAATAAAGGCAATATACAGTAACCCAACTGCCAACATCGAACTAAATGGAGAGAAACTCAAAGCAATCCACTGAAGTCAGGAACAAGGCAAGGTTGTCCACTTTCTCCATGCCTATTCAACATAATACTCAAAGTTCTAGCTAGAACAACACAACAACAAAAGGAGATCAAGGGGATAAAAATTGGAAAAGAAGAAGTTAAGCTATCTACTGTTTGCTAATGATATGATAATTTACATAAGTGACCCCAAAAATTCTACCAGAGAGCTCCTACAACTCAAGAAATTAGACATCAAAATACCAAATAAACCAATTTTTAAAATGGGGTACAGATCTAAACAGATAATTCTCAACAGAACAATCTCAAAGACAGTTAAGGAAATGCTTAACATCCTTAGTCATCTGGGTAATGCAAATCAAAATCACTTTGAGATTCCATCTTACACTGATCAAAATGACTCAGATCAAAAGTACCAATGATAGCTTATGCTGGAGAGGATGAGGAGAAAGGGGAACACTCCTCCATTGCTGGTGGGAGTACAAACTTGTACAGCTGCTGTGGAAATCAGTATGGTGATTTTTCAGAAAATTAGGGATTAACCCTCAAGACCATGCAATATCACTTTTGGGCATATACCCAAAGGAGGCACAGTCACACCACAAGGACATTTGCTCAACTATGCTCATAGCAACATTATTTGTAATAGCCAGATCTTGGAAAAAAACCTAGATGCCCCTCAACTGAAGAATGGATAAAGAAAATGTGGTATATTTACTCAATGGAGTACTACTCAGCAGTAAGAAACAATGGCATCCTAAAATTTGCAGGCAAATGAATAGAACTAGAAAAAGCTATCCTGAGTGAGGTAACCCAGACCCAGAAAGACAAATATTGTATGCCACTCACAAGTGGATACCAGACATAAAGCAAAAGATACCCAATCTACAATCCACAACCCCAGAGAAGTTAGAACCCTCTTCCAGAAACAGATGGGAGCAAATGCAGAAATCCACAACTAACTATTGGGCAAGCTTCTGGAGTACAATTGAAGTGAGGGAGAAATGACAATATGAACAAAGAAGTCAAGACCATGATGGGGAAACCCACAGAATCAGCTGACCCAAGCTAGTGAGACATCACTGACTCTGGTCTGACAAATGGGGAACCTGCATAAGACCCCCCACAGTGACACACTTCCTCCAACAAGGTCTTACCTACTCTGCCAAAGTAGTAATAGTGCCACTCCCTATGAGCTAATGGGGACCAAAGACATTCAAACAACCATACTCTTCTTTTGTTAAATGCTCATCTAGTCTTCATGACTCCATCATGTAAATGTTACCACTTTCAGGACAGTAAACAGATTTAGAAAGCTTGGGTAATTTGCCCTAAACTTTAACAACACAAACGCAAGGAACCAGAAAATAAGTATCATCTGCTTAGTTCCTCTTCTCTTCCTTTCCTCCTAGATTTGTCATGCTTTGATCTTTCAGGGTAATTATGGAAAATTTCAGTGCTTACATAATAGTAATGAAAGAAAAAAGTGCAAATGTCAACTGAATAACCAATAAGCATTTAACTAGAAGTCTCTGTGACGGCAGTGTCTATGTCGTAAACTTAGAAAGTAAAGAAATGCTAGAGGAAAAAAAGAAATGGAAAGAGGGAGGGAAAGAGGGAAGGAGAAAGGAGGAATGGCGGGATGAAGGAAAAAGAGTAAAAAAGAAAGGGAAATGAATAAGAGTACAGGAGAACTCAGAGGTTATGTTGGGGGTATCTTAGATTTATAATCCTGCTGCTTCTTTTTTTCTTTTTAGATTTTAAAAATTGTGTGTGTGTGTGTGTGTGTGTGTGTGTGTGTGTGTGTGTGGTTGTGGATGTATACCTGGGTATAGAGGCCAAAGATGTGGGAATCCCTTGGAGCCAGTTATAGGCAGTTGTAAGCCACCTGATGTGGGTACTGCAAACCAAATTCAGGTCCTATGCAGAAGGAATATATGTTCTTAATTGCTGAGACATGCCTCTGCTCTCTCCCCCTTTAAAAAGCTTTATTTTCTATTTATTTATTTGTGTGTGTGTGTGTATGTGTGTGTGTGTGTGTTAGCATGTGCATGTGGGTACCCAAGAAGCCAGAAGTGTGTGAGTTACAGACAGTTGTGAGCCCTCTGGGAAAGTGCCTTAACTGTTAAAATTTCATAGAAAAAAAATTTAGCCAGGAAATACGCATATGTGTTGCAGAATTGTCTGTACAGCCAATCCAATGTGTCAATAAAGCAATCTTGAATCAAAGGAGGGAGTCAACAATTTGCTGACCAGAATTAGCCATAGAGTTCTTGGAGGACTTAGGACAGGGAAAGAGTGGACAGGAGGAGTTTCAGAGATTTTCTGCTGCAAATGGGGTTGGAGAAAAATGTGGAGAGAGGGTCAGCCAATTCCTCTGCTTTTCTTGGATTTTTTTTCAGGTTTTTATCTCAATTTCTGACTCCCAAGTTTTCATTATCCTAGAACAAATTAGGTAATCATTACGTCTGGCAGCCTCATGTGGAAGCTAACACGTGGCATTATCAAACCATACCAAGTCAATGAATCCACCACACCAATGCTGCAGCAACCAGCTTTGTTTCCCTCCCCACAGGACCGCCATGTTTGTTTTTCTGCATCTGTGGTTTTTTTTTCCATTGAAGCTTTTCTACAGCAGCCTTCAGCTGTTGCTTGCCCCTGGCCCCCAAAACTCTACTGGGGCTACCCACCCCACCACCGGGCTCTGCCCTTATTTCCTGCCACAAAAGCCTTACTCCCTGAGCCACCAACATAGGCCAGCTCAGCTTCCTTTAGACCTGCTTTGGGCTTAGACTCTTACTGCTGCTGCCACCACCACAGACTTCAAAGTGGCCTGGCAGCAGCAGCTACCACAGGAGTATACTCCCGGTCAGCCACCCCACCACTGCTAGTGGCAGGCAGGTGGTCCTTCACATGTGGTGTCCCATACACATGGATTTCTCCTACCGGCTTCCATGCATTAGCTCTTCAGATAGCTCAGTCCCTCCATACATGGTACATGAGAAACCACATCGACCCCCAGCCCAAGTGTGGAATTAGCACAGCTTGTAGCACCCCCAACGCCCTCCCCAGAGTGCTGCCACTACAGCTGGCTACCCACCCCCACCTCCCTACCCTCATGCATTTTCCCATGCCTGTTAAATGTGCTGAGACACTTGGGAATTTTTAAATGGGGAATTAGGATATTAAAAAGGGGGTGGGGGGAACCTTTTCCATGTTAATAATCAGGAATATCACAATGCAGGAGTTAGGACCCTGTTTAGTGCTACTATGAATAGTTTACAAATGGAGAAAAATAAATGAGGGGATAAACAATTTATCTGGAATTAACATAATGTTGGACATAATTATTATCAGTTTGGTAACTCATATTTTATCCTTAAAAATGATTTGATAACTGTGCCAAATATGATAGTTTGACTGACAATATATAAGCCTTAAAAAGACTTACTATTAATAAGACATAAGCCTTAGAAAAACTTGCTATTGATAAGATACAAGCTTTAGAAAGATTTGCTACTGATAAGATTCAAGCCTTAGAAAAACTAATGAAAATAAGAAAAATTTGACCGATAACATACAAGCCTTAGAAGAACTTACTACCGATAAGATACAAGCTTTAGAAAAACTTACTACTGGTAAGGTAAAGCCTTAGAAAGACCTACTAATGAAAATAAGAAAAATACTAAGACACAGAGGAATTTAGAGCAGAACCTACCTCACCATTACATGATGAAACTGAAGAGGAACAGCCTAAGGTCATTAGAAAACTTAACCTTAATTTATCCAGTTACCATACAAGAGTGACCACCAGATGCAGAAGTTAACTGGGATCCAATAGAAATGTTAAATTTGAAGAGATTTAAGGAAGTAGTCATTTCATATGGCATGCACTCACCTTTTGTGAAGCAGCTGGCAAATTCATGGACAACCTGGGAACAGGATTATTCTACAAGGCATTCCTAGAAAGCAATGTTTTTCTGAGGATAATACAAACAGAAGGCCCCAGCCTT